GTGGTGGTACATACAGTTAAAGTTTGAGATGAGAGAAAGTGAAAAAAGTCTTTAATTTCTATCTATGCATTTATATTTTTTTAGTGTACATGATCATTTTGATTAATTGAAAGAGAATATTTGCTGTTGTTTGGCTAAATATTAGTGGGGCTTTGTAGTGATTATGTTTACTGAGCAATTAAAATTAGATACTAATAACTGAAAAAGTTCCAAAAGGAGAATTTTATTAATAAATATAGGTATGTAACATTTTCATGATGAGAATATAGTGCATGCTAGTACTATAGTTTTAGAAATATTTTATCTTATTCATAGATTTAATTGGTATTATAGTTAGAACATGTAAAAGATTGTACATATTTCCCAGAGTAACCTGTTTCAAATAAGTGAGCCTAGTAAGAAAAGCATGAAAATAAAATTGCTTGGTAGGACTAAGGTCATATTTTTTTAAAAAGTGAGAGAAAAAGAAAATTTAGTGGTCTTAATGAAATACTAACAGAGGCTGTCTAAGAGGGAATGCATTGGGCAGGGATTGGCAAACTATGGGCCTTGGGTTAAATTTAGACCTCTACCTGTTTTTGTTAATAAAGTTTTACTGGAAAACAGGTATTCTCATTTATTTCTGTATTGTCCATGGCTGCTTTTGTGTTACAACAGCAGAGTTGAGTAGTTGTGACAGAGACTATATGGTTTGCAAAGCCTAAAATATTAACTGTCTTGCTTTTTACATTAAGTTGCCAACGACTAGTGGTGGAAAGATCTTGGCTCTGTAAACAGACACACCTAGGATCAAAGCCCAGCTTTTCTTATTACATGTATAACCTTTGGCACATTGTTTAATCTCTCTGAGTTGTAATTTCTTCTCCTAAAATGTGATTAGTAAGAGATCGAATGAGATAATATATGTAAAAGTACCTGGTATATGATAGACATTAAACTTGTATTTGATTTTAGTGAAAGCTCTCAGAAGAAGGGAACAATTTTCTTTGGCCTATTAATTTTTATGAAAAATTTACAGACCATTTTAGAGTAGCTTTATTAGTGTTTGTTATAAGGATGTAATGATAATACTTAACTGAAGGATTAAGACATTTGAAATTACAAACTGATTTACCTCTCCAAATGAATGGTAGAAATTGGAGATATTAATGGCAATTAGAGAAAGAATCACTTTTTTTAGTGGTGAAACTGATTATAGATTATATTTGAATATATGTACACTCTCTAAATATATATACTATTGTGTGTGTGTATATATATATGTGTGTGTACATATATATACACACACACATATATATATACATACACATATATATATATATCATACTGAATGTTGAAAAAAGACCAAGCAGTATAGAAAAAGTTTATTAAGAGATTAAATATACTAGGAAGAAAATATATAAAAAGTGAGTACAGGTTGGAGTTTGAAAAGTTAAATGAGATTTTCTGCAGAGCAATCAATTGTAGAAGTAATGCAGGTGATTTTCTTGTAATCTTCATAGTATGTTAGTCAATGATATTATCAAATGAAAAATAATTAGTTCGTATTTGTTATAATAAAGCTACTTTAGTAAATTATAACAGTTCTAGGGATCTGACAGAGTTATTTATGTCTGGTAGTGCTGAACAGTAATTGTTCTTTTAGCCTGTTAAGCCTTATAGTATCTTTGTTGTGTTAAGTGGGGTGCTTTTATAATTACCATCATATTAGGGGTGATGAATGGGGAACTCAAAGAGATTATGTTGTGATATTTCCAAAATCATTTTGCATCCTATCGAGGAATCCAGTATTTTTTAATCCTGTTTAAAATATATTCTCCGAATGAATGAAGTGATTTATATACATTATCAAGTCAGGTATATGGAGAAGAGGGCTTTACATAATGTTTCCCAATATAAGATAAGACAATTTTGTTATACAGATTTAAATACATAAAAACAGAAGTTTATTAGCAGTGTTTTTCTTAAATTCACTGGAATAAAGCTAAATTCTAGGACTAGAATTATAACTAAAATTGTAGAAAGTATTTTATAATTTATATAGCCCCAGATATTACAGGGATCTGAAGCAAATGAATGTTCAGCTCTCAATATACATTGAAATGAATTCTAGTCATTTCATTGATTTAGATATTGAGAATTTGCAGCTGTATTACTGGGGTGCATACAAACTTAGAATTGTTATATCTGTATGGTGGATTGACACTTGTATTATAAAATATACCTCTTTATTCATAATAATGATTTTTGCCTTATAGTGTTTTTTTTTTTCCTGTTATTAGTTTAGCTGTATTAGCTGTCTTTTGGTTAGTGTTTTCATGGTATGTCTTTTTCTATCTTTTTCCTTTCAACCTTCCTTGGTTCTGATGTCTCAGTGTGTCTTGTAGACAGCAGATATTTTATTGTTTTTTCCCCAACGAATCTGATAATCTTTGTTTTTAAATTTGAAATATTTAGTCCATTTTTTATTTAGTGTAACTGGTATTAATTATATTGTCTATTTATTTTCTATTTAACCATTCTGTCCTTTGCTCCCATTTTTCTCTTTTTGTTGCCTGTTTTGGAATTTTCAATTTAAAAAAAATTCCAGTTTTTCCCTTCTGATGGCTTTTTCTTTTACTCTTCCTTTTATAGGTTTCCCAGAAATGAAAACATTCTTGATTGTTTTTGTAGTCTAACATAAGTTAGTACTTTCATCATTGCCCATCTAATGAATTCAGTGGCCTTAGAATACATAGTGCCCTACCATCATCATCTTTGGTATTGTGGGGTATGAAATAGATGCAGAACTAAATCACATGACAAGAAGACATTGTTGTTGCTTGTACATTATGTGTGGTAATATTATATATGTTATATGTTGTATATATGGTCAATATTCATTTTGAGTTATCCATATATAATTGCTTTTCCTAGTCCTTTATGTCTTTGTAAATTTTTAAGCCTTCTCTGGACTTACTTTTTTTCTGCCTTTTAGTATAAGTCTGTTGAACAAATTCTCTCATTTTGATTCACCTGAAAATGTTTTTTATTAATATTTCCTAATTTTTGAAGGATTTATTGCTTGACATAGAATTATAGGTTGGCAGTTACTCTT